CTGGGCTCAAGCCTCAGAACAGTTTGCCTGGATATCTGGACCACTCCCTCCTTACTACATGTTTGAGAGGAGTAAAAATATGGGTCTTCAGAAAGTTATTTTAACAGATAATGGTACCCAAATTGAAATTTCAATTCCAACAACTTCAACAGAAAGGAGGAGAGTTTGAAAATCAGTAAAGCATGGATCCCAGCTCTAAGCCACACCAAGAATAAACAGCACTTATCTAATCAAAACTAATCTGCACAGCCTCACCAGAAAGAACACCTAGCAGTATCCTGGCTCAAAAACAGTCCAATTAGGAACCAGCCCTCTTGGAATTCTCCAAAATAAACCAGAGATCCACCTATGGAAAGAACCAATCAGCAACCTGCTTCGACAGACCAATTGGGAGCCAATTCTCTTGGAATTTCTTCAAAATAGACCAATTGGAAGTCTACCTAAATGAGTTTACCTAAATAAATAAACCAATCAGGAACCAACTTCTTTGGATGCCTGTGACATGGACCAATCAGATATCAGTTTGCCAAGTTCAAATACAAAAGCCCAGTCAGCCAAGGTGAATTGCTGTGAACTGTTGAGAGGTATACCACAAAGCAGCTCACTCTGCCTCTAAAGATGTCAACCACAGTTGCTGGCAAAACTTAGGACAAAAGAAAAGTAGATCACAGCCATTCAGCCCAAAAGCTCATCACTGCTTCATTATACCTCTAGCCTTTCAGAGATTGCTGGAATTTAATCTGAGCTTATATTGTATAAGGCTTTATACTGAAAACCTTTTTTTCACTTTGTAAACAAGATAATATTCACATTTATTCTAATAAAACAGCTTTAAAGAAAGAGACTACAAATACCTCTGCATGAAAACTTCCGAGTTTTTTTTCTTGAGAATATTCATATGCTCAGAAGTTAGACACCATATATGGTTATGATGGATTCATGCTAATAGTATACTTTACATTCTACTTTGGTTTAGGTTTAATAATGTTATTCCTATTTTTAGTGCAGTGTACATGTACACAAGGGTATGATTTCAATGCTTTAATATACAAAGCTTGAATATAGCCTGCTGAAGCAGCATTTGATTTTTAGGGTAAAAAATTCTCAGATTTTGCTCAATTTTTCATCTGTTCTCTTGAAATGAATAGCAATAAATACTTGATATGGTCACACACATCATAAAACTAGCACTGGATGTCCTTCTGAAACTTCTGTTCAGAAGTGTACCAGTACAGTTAAAAGGAAAAGATAAACTTAAGAAAGAAGCAAAAGAGATTCTATTATATTACTGGGGGCTAACACAGAAAAAATGGAAAGCTATATTATTATGTGGGATGCAAAAGAAATGGTCCCAGTTTCTTTTAGCAGCTTACTTGGTATCTCTACTAGGGACAAAATGGGAGCAGACAAGTCTGCCCCTCCTCCATCAATTCATTCATTCACTTGCATGAAATTTCTGGCCAACTAGGCTGGTGCTTAACTACAAGGCTCAACTGAAGGTAGAAGGACTTAATTCTTCCAAGGAAGAGAAACACTTTCAGGTAAAGAAAGATGAGAAGGAACAACATGATGGTTATCCAGAGTAGTGAATTTTGCACTATAATGTTTTCTAAGCAGTTGTAAGTGAAATGGGTGGTGCTGTAAAAGACAGGCTGCATCAGAAAGATTCCAAGGGAAAGTCCCAATAACTAGTATAATCAGGACCCATATAATTTACAAATGGAAAATAAACAGGATGACAGTTTATACTTTTTGGAGGTGGGGAAACTGGAATTCAATCTAGATCTAAAATGACAGAAGAAAGAGTTGTAGGTTTTAATCATGATCAGTTTAAAGGTTTAATACATTCATTAACCTAAGCAGCACAAGCTAAGGACATTAAACACACCCATTGATACCAACTTCCTTTTTAGTGTGGTTGTAGAACAATATGGAAACTTGAGATATAAATTATTTTATTCAATAGTTTTCAAACTTTCAAATCTTAAGTGCCACTAGTCATTCTATCAAAGAACCTAGGTCCCACCATGATAGAAATAAATAGCCTACCGTTTCAAGAACGTGGCTTATACAGTGGGGCAAAAAAGTATTTAGTCAGCCACCAATTGTGCAAGTTCTCCCACTTAAAAAGATGAGAGAGGCC